AGCAAGTGACCCGTGCCCACGCTGCAGAGGAAGGCTGGTGGCAACAGCTGACTTTCTCCCCCCCCCCCCCGTTTCTCAGCTCTTCCCCTGAGGGGGGGTGAAAGAACTTGAGGGTACCCCACAGGAAGGAATTCCCAAGTGTGCCTTCCTGTGTTCTCAAAGGGCTTTTGCACTTGGGTGGCGGTAGCATCTACCAATCCAAGGTCAGAGAAAGCTGTAACCTTGGGAGTTTAATACAAGCCTGGAGTGGCAAGTATTAATTTTTAGAGCCCTTGTGAGTCCCCACCTTCTGCACTCGAAGTGCCAGAGTGGGGAAATCAGCCTTGACATCTGGTGTCCACATTTCAAAAGGATGTTGACAAATTGGAAAGGGTTCAGATAAGAACTACAAGCATGATTTGAGGTCTCGAAAACCTACCTTACAATGAAAAACTAAAGAAGCTTTATCTATTTAGTTTATCCAAAATAAGATTCAGAGGGGGTCCCTGGATCGGTGGGGGTCCACTGTGGGTTATGCGGGGGTCCATCCCTTGAGCTGGGGGGCAGTGGGGCCAGAACTTCACTGTGGCCAGAATGCACCAGAAGAGTGTTCTGGCATTTTTGCTGCACGGAGGACTCCATTTTGTTCTCAAAATGGCATTCTCCACAGAGTGGGACCACATATTGTGCATGAGAGGTCAAGCTGGCGGGGGTGTTCTGGTAGTACCAGAACTTGCCCATTCGGGACTATACCACAAAATAATTTTAGTTAAAGTGAAAATAAGGGTTATGTGACAAAAATGGATCAGTGGTTAAAAAGCAGAAGAATTAAAAAGAAAAATATATCTACTATTGAAAAAATATGTGAAATCAACAAGGATCAAAGTGACAACAGAAGTGTAGTCGGTGATAGAGAAGCCTCATTAATTATTATCACTGGGGAGAAACATAAAAATACAGAAGGTGACAAACTTAATGAAAGCGCAAAGAAGAACAGGACATATGATGACCGTTACATTAAATTTGGTTTTACACCTGTGTCGTACAAGAAGATATACAGTTGCCACAATGTGTTTTATGTTACAAAGTGCTTTCTGATGAGTGTATAAAACCAGTCAAACTCAGCTGTTATTTAGCTATCAAACATGCTCCATACAAAGATAAGCCTGTAGAATTTTTCAAATAAAATTATGCTAAGTGAAGGCTGGAAAACGGAGCATTATTAACACAACCCATGTCAATACGAAAGCTCTCAAATAAAAAGCTCTCTTCATATAAAGTTAGCTACAGAATTGCTAATGCTGGAAAACTGCACACAATTGCTGAAGAACTGATTCTTCCAGCAGTGAAGACCATGGCAAATGTAGTGCTAGGAGAGAAGCAAGGAAAGCAATTAAAAATGTTCCCCTGTCGAACAATACGGTATCTAGAAGAATACCTGACACAAGTGATAAAGTGGAAAAACAACTGGTGTGTCACTTGCAGCTGAGTCCATAAATTGCCTTGGAAATCGATGAATCAACAGACTTTGCTATTGTGGCTAATCTTGCATACATTTGTTATATTTTTGGTGATGAGATGGTTGAAGACTTTTTGATTTGTTGTCTTTTGCCCACATGCACAACAGCAGAAAATATTTTTTGAATTTTTTTTTTATAGAAACATTCTTTCCAGAGACATGGGAAGTGAACACTCGACATTACTTCTACACATGGGAGTCTGTTGGTTATCCTGGGGTAAGGTATTGACCCATTTCTTCAAACTTCACTCAGAGATATTGTTGCCTTCTATGGATTATCGTTTTGAGCTTTCGGGCTGTCTTAAAGATGAAATTTGGCTATCACAGTTGGCATCCTTGGTGGACATATTTTCTCCGTTAAATGAACTGAATTTAGGTGTCCAGGGAATATCAGTAACCATGTTCTACCACTAGGAAGTTTCTGACAAGTGAGTGTCCACCTTTCCCCCCCTCACAAGAAAAGCTTTTTAACTCTCTCAGGAAGCACATTACATATCAGTGTTCTTAGGTCCTTACACAGCAGCTCCTCTTTTGCCACACTATCTGCCCAGTACAATCACACTGTCATCCTATCAAAATCACGATGCTATTGTGTCCTAAGTGTGAAGCAATGTTGAAGGTCCTGATCCTGCAGAAGAACTCTTATATCCACACAGAGTCCCACTGGGGCTGTCAGAGTCCAAGCCACTGAACCCTGTTGCAGGCCACAACAAACAATCCAACTAAGATTGTAAGAAAACACTTCTCAGCCTATTATATTACCCCCCTCCTCTCCAAAGTGGCTGAAATAGCACAGTGCTCGCTTATCTAAAAAGACTGTAATTTGTAAGGAATCCTAAGGACTTGGGGAGGAACAATGAAGAGAGAGAAGATGGGGGTGCTATATTCAATAGACTCTTCCTTTGAAACCATGGGAATAGCCTCTCCCTCCCTGAACACAAAACAGAGCATTAAGAAATTAATGGTGTGCTTACCATGAATAAGAGATGCTTCCAAAATCGTCCACATGTCCTTCAACCTTGAACCTTTATTTTAAAACAGTGAAGCCTTTTGTAAGTTACATACAAAGGACATTGTTCAAACATTATTTCAAGCCCAAATAAAGAACATGAAAGGTAAGTTTACCTTTGTTCTATACATGAAATCTAAGTTTCTACACCACGTTCATCCATATGGTATATAAATGCCTAACAAGGAAATTGAGACACACCGAGATTTAGTCCAGAGTTTTCAAGAGGCCATTGATTTTTGATGCTTCAGTGTTTGGGTCTCAACCTGAGATAATGTAGGTATCTCAAGCTGGACACTCAAAAAATGGGACACTCAAAAATTAAAGGCCACAGTTGCAAATGTGAGTATAAGTGACTTGGTATATAGTGAGTAGGTGGCAGAGCCAGGCTAGAACACGTGCCTTCTCTCTCCCCAACTCACATCCTATCAACTGGCCATCCTATGTATGTTCACAGGATTGTATGTGAAGGGACAGAGAGAGGATATCACCATTAGGTGTTCTCCTTTGGATACGAAAGAGACACGGGCCATTCATATTTCACCTCCATTCAGAACTCAGTGATTTTCAATGAAAAAATAAACAATGATTTTTACAAACTGAGCAGAAACACCAAAAGAATTACAATATCTGTCATTATTCACTTTGTCCCTCTCCCCAGAAGGAAAGATAGTGCCGCTATCACCAAACATGGTGTAAAATCAATTAGCCATATACCATCTTATGCTGTGATCCCATCAGATCTCACAAGCTATGCAGGGTCGGGTGGGGTCAGGTCAGTGTTTGAATCAGAGACCTCCATGGAACATCTAGTTGTTATAAGAAGTGATGATGGCGATTCATTAGATGGATCTCTTCCCTCTGAGTCACTACGGAACCAGTGACCCAAAATGGTATTGGGGCACTGTGCTGCTGGGGATGCAGTCTTTCACATGACATATAAAAGTGAGGTCCTGACCACTTGTGGTCATTAAAGATTTGACAGCACTTTTTGCCAGACTGAGGGTATTAACCCTGCTGTCTTGGCCAAATTCCAGCATCCTGGAGCTGGGCTTTCCTGGAGGCAGGGAAGGTGGGAGGCAGCTAGGAGATGCATAGTTCTGTGAGCCACACCTTCAGCTACTTTGGTCAAGGAGGGAGGCAAAACCTACTGCCACCAAAAGAAGAATTCCAGAGAAACTCCATGCATTCAAATTCTGCATTTCCCAAACCTATTTGGGAATACCCTGGTTAGGGCAAAGACCAGCCGTAAGAGTCTCTCTGTATGTCTATGCAGCAACTAGACACCTGCGGCTGGCTCATGCTAGCCAACTCAGGCTCGCAGGGCTTGGGGGGCTGAGGGGCTGTTTCATTGCTGTGTAGACTTCCAGGCTCAGGCTGGAGCCCAGGCTCTAGGACCCTGCAGGGTGGGAGAGCCTGAGACCTCGGGCTCCAGCCCAAGCTCAGAAGTTTATACAGCAAAGAAACAACCCTGCAGCCCGAGCCCCACAAGTCCCAAGCTGGCGGGGGTGTTCTGGTAGTACTAGACACATTTTAAAACTTTTTTTTTCACAACTGTCATTACTTTTTTAGCCCTCACAGTTGTGAAGAAAAGCTTAAAAATGTAACCTGAACATAACCAATGCATTGGTGTCTGCCTGAGTCTGCAGACAGCCTGGAACAATAGCTCTGAGTAGTGTGAACTGCCCCATGAAAATATATTCTGATGCAATCAATTGACTCCAGGAGCTGGGATTCTAGGCCTGGGTTTATAGTTCCTAGGCCTTAATCCAGCTTTGCCAAGGAGTCAGTTTAGGCTGACCCCAAAAGGGAAGCCTGGTATTATACATCTTATTTGAAACAACAATCCTACTTTGACTTTGAATACATGCTTTTCATTCTTTTGAACAGGCACACCTGTTTTCTCTACTAACTCAAATCTTTTGCAGCCACTTATGCTCAGGGGAAAGAGGGAGTGTAATAAATAGCAGAAGCAAAGAATCTACCCAGTAAAGAGCATTCCATGCTTTCTGTATGCAAATTCTGCAGAAGAATTCTACAGATATGGTACAGAGCTGCTTTCAGAACTGGATGCTAAAAATGTTCATTGCCAACACAGCTGTTATCAAGCACTGCTCTTTCCAAGTCTCCATTCAGTTTGATGGCTATGATTATGCCAACAGTCCTTCCATTACAAACCCATCTATCCAACACTGTGGAACTGTTTTATGGCCATAAAAAACTCATTTCAGCTAGAAATTTGATGCTCAAGGTCTCATCCCAGGTGCCTGTCTCTCTCTTTTAATGATATAAAGTTGACCCAAAGCAGCCTTAACTGATGCTCTGGGAGATCGTTTAAGCCAAATTCCCTGCTCTACTTGTCTGTCTCTCCCCCTTGATCCTAAACGCCCTAACTCAGTAAAGGTTTTAGAGTGGTAGCCATTTTAGTCTGTATCAGCAAAAACAACGAGAAGTCCTTGTGGCACCTTAGAGACTAACAAATTTATTTGGGCATAAGCTTTCATGGGCTAGAACCCACTTCATCAGATGAATAAAGTGAAAAATACAGGAGCAGGTATAAATACATAAAAGGAGGGGGTTGCTTTACCAAGTGTGAGGTCAGTCTAACGAGATAAATCAATTAACAGCAGGATACCAAGGGAGGAAAAATAACTTTTGAAGTGGTAAGAGAGTGGCCCCTTACAGACAGTGGACAAAAAGGTGTGAGTAACAGTAAGGAGAAATTAGTATTGGGGAAATTAAATTTAGATTTTGTAATGACCCAACCACTCCCAGTCTTTATTCAGGCCTGATCTGATGGTATCCAGCAAATTAATTAATTAATTAACGAATTTAAGCATTAGCTTAACTGTAAGCATGTACGTAATTCTATCCCCATTCAGCAAAACATTTAAGCATGTGGTTACCTTTTAGCACCAATGGTACTTAAGTCCCACTAAAGTCAAGGAGCTACAAGCACATGCGTAAGTGTTTTGCTGCAGAGGAATGGTGTGAAGCATGTGCGTTTAAAGTTAAGTAAGTGCTGAATTAGGACCAAAGCCAAGACACGCAGCAGAATCTTAAAATGCATTAAAAATGAATTGCACAAAATAGATACCATCTAAAATTGAAAACAGAGCTTGTGCCCCCATCTCACCGAAACAAGTGAAATTGGGTATCCAAAAGTAACACCTCTATGTACATACATAAGTTATTCCAACCATAGTGTCTAGTAACACTGGCTGGAATGATTGGAATGTTGATGAAAACTTTAATCTAAATATCAAATTTCGTGGGGGAAAAGGGATGGGGTGAATTTTGACAAAATGTTTGCAATATTTTTTTTTGTTTTGTTTTTTCATTTTTTTAACCAGCTATAGAGCTGATGACACTTTTCAAGTTTTGAGGGGTTTATTTAACGAAAATTATCACTGACATTGAAATTTTAACCAAAAGAAGGGGAAAAAATGAATGAAAAGTCCCCCTCCACTCCCATTTTGGGCCTGCTCTCGGACGTAGATGTCCATCTTGTTATTGATAAAACATCTTAAACAACACGGCAGCTGCCATTTTTAAAGGTCACAGGAGCACTGGGCCAGATGCTCAGCTGGGGTCAATTTAACCCAGCTCAGGACTTGAGCCATTGATTAGTGACAAGGGTTCGAGATCATGTATATATGTTAAAAACTTGGATTGGAACATTTGTTCTCTTCACAGCTCACCCCAGGTGCCCATGGAGGGCATGGGGGAGGGGAGTAAACTAGCTCATCTCTCTCACCAACAGATAGGGTGACCAGATGTCCTGATTTTATAGGGACTGTCCCGATTTTTGGGTCTTTTTCTTATATAGGCTCCTATTACCCTCCACCCCTTGTCCCGATTTTTCACCCTTGCTCTCTGGTCACCCTACCAACAGAAGTTGGTCCAATAAAAGATATTCCCTCACCCATCTTTCCATTTACCTTCCTGCATGGATCCCCACATCCTGGGTCCCAGGGAAGTGGAAATGACTCTACCCCTTCCACCATGTCAGCCAGAACAGCTGACCAGCTGTGAAGGAATAAGTAATCTGCACCAGGAAAAGGTCTGGCACAGATAACTTCCCGCCCCGGAGCAAGAGGACAAGGGACCAATTTGCACTCCTGGGACAGTTAGTGGCAAATCCACAAGGAAGCCGCAAGTGAGAGTGGTTCATAATTTTAAAACAATCTTTGACAGGAGAATCTTTTTTAAAAAAGCATAAAAATGGGAAAGATCCCTACCTTATATTGAAGGCTTCATTTTTAAAAGAGCGATACAAACATTCCCCAAATAGTTCTGCTTTGTCTTTGTTGTTAGAGTGTGAACCTGAAACCATGCAATGCTCTTGCACAGCATATCCTCCTCCGCCAGCTTTTCCTCTCCTCCTTGTTAGCTCACTGCCCAGCATTAGCAGAGAAGAATGGGGAGTTACTGGTGCGTTGTAATTACCAACTGATAGTTTGCCACTGGGAAAAGCTGAGGAAGAGTTTCTAATTAACACAGGCCACTTTCCCTTCCTCATGCAGCTGTTAGATCCTTTGTTGACACACAAGATGGAGCTGTTGGAGGGAAGTCCAGTCACACGCAGAGCGACATATTAACATCTCTATTATTAGCAGTCATTTAAATGAGTTTGATGGTGTCTACACCTGCCTAGAAATGCAATTTGGCATTTCATCTGAGACAGAGAGGTAAGAAATGAGGGCCCGTGAGCGTCTTCCCTGCCCAGTAGGGGCTAGGTTATGAACCCCTTGCTCACACTAAATGCTCTAATAAATGTGTTAGTCTCTAAGGTGCCACAAGTACTCCTGTTCTTTTTGCGGATACAGACTAACACAGCTGCTACTCTGAAACTGGTGAGCAGTTACTCACATAAGTAATCCCATTCAAGGGTTCCCAGCCTAGCCCTATATCGTTTAATTTAGAATGTGCACAAAGATCAAGAATAGTGTTTTCCCTCCTTTTAACTGATTTAAGAACTTCTTAATTTGCTGTAATTGAAGAAATTAAGGAGAATATAATATTGATAACTGGGTGGAGATTTTTCAAGGCATTTTTCTTTTTTCAAGGCAGTTTTCTTTAAAGCCTTGTGTAATGTACCCAGTTGGTTTTGTGTGTGCAATGTTACCTCTTCTGGCCGAGACACATAACAGATAGGAATTATTTACTACTGCTCGCTACGGGAGTTCTCCTTTTGCTCAATTCACAGAGGTTTGTTAATTTTGGACAAAACTGTCTTCCGGGGGAACCCAATGCTCTGCAATCCTCATCATCACCAGCACATTTTCAGAGAGGAGCAGGCGACCTGTTGCCTCTCATGGCATCCTTGGCGGGCATCTCCCACACTCTCTAATCAAGAAAGAGCCAAGCCAATGAGCTCAGTAGGGAGCTCACAGGGAGCTCACACAATCATATTTTGAACATCTGCACAATCTACAATGAACAATGTCTCAATCTGGTGACTCAGGTGCAGGGCCGGCTCCAGGCACCAGCAAACCAAGCACGTGCTTGGGGCGGCACATTTTCAGGGGCGGCATTCCGGCCATCTTTTTTTTTTTGCAAAAGCCTAGAGCTGGCCCTGGCAGCAGCAGCATGTCATGTGCTGGGGGCACCCTGGGGCTGCTGCGGTTCATGCCACGGGGGAGCAGCACCCGCACCTTGTGGCTGGGCCGGGCAGGCTCCGTGTGGGGGACACTCGGGCTGGGGGCTGGCGCACAGAGCCACGTGCAGGTGCCGCAGGCCGGCCGCCCCCCAGCAGCAGGGATGGCGGCAGGGTGGTCAGAAGCAGCAGCGGGGCCATAGAGGGCGGGGCACTGCCGTGCGGGGCCCACATCCCGCTCTCTGGGTCTCCGCTTCCTCTGGGGCCACCCTGGCCCGGCTCCTCAGCCCCCTGCCAGGGTGGTCCCCCAGCTCTGCCCTTCTGGGTCCCGGCCAGTCCTGGAGGCGGGAGCCCTGGCTGGAGGGACCCTGGGCTGAGGCGCGGCCCAGGTGCCCCGCTGCTTGCCCCGACCCTGCCAGCACCGGACCGGCTGGAGGTGAGGGGGAGAGGGCAGAGTCAGCACTGGTGCGGGGGGAGCCCAGGGCTGGGGCGGCAGGGGGTGCGGGTGGGGGGGGAAGAGAGCCCAGGGCTGGGGCGGCAGGGGGTGCAGGTGGGGGAGGGCACTGGTGGGGGGTGAGAGTCCAGGGCTGGGGTGGGGGGCAGACAAATTTTTTTTTGCTTGGTGCAGCAAAAAACCTGCTCAGGTGCGTTTATTTTGTGGGCAGAGTTGGGAAGAGTAGCATCACCTTTGCTTGTTCAGTCTGATCCCTGCCTACAGCAAAGGCCTGTTCTGTCTTGTAGTCAACTGTTGTC